TTTATGACTCAAGAAGACAATGGGCAGAAGTAGAGCTTTGGTAAAAAGCAGAATTTATATCCTTTTAAGTTATTTTAATCTTCTGTATGAATATGCTACCATAATACCATTTTGGTCTTCTGGAAATATGAAATAGTAAGCTACTTAGGCTATTGCAGAATACTTTTATTTATTGTTGAAAATAAATGTTAGCTTTTCAACTCATGAGACCACCTATTACAATGCTTTCCCTCTTCATTCCAACAGAATTAAAAATTATTTTTTTTATCCAGCACAGAAAAAAAACTTAATTGTAAACAGAGTTTAAAGTGTTTACTGTTTAATAGGTTTACTGTTCAGTACACTGACAAAAACATTTAAAGGATTTCAAAAGAGTTTGCAATTAGCCCACGAGTAGTACAGAAAGGCAAAACAAAATACATGTGTGCACATGAATATACACACACACACACTCACAGATAGAGAGGAGGGAGGGGGAGAGAGAGAGAGAGAGAACAAAGAACGCTGGAGATCTGTCATACCTTTGCTGACTTCCTCAGAACAACTGGATTGCTATGGTCTTTTAGAAAAAATTGTACTACCAAGTAGTTTTACTTCAGAATATATAAGGATCAGTGGTGCGTTGCTACCGGTTCGCACTGGATCAGGTGAACTGGTACCGGCGGCAGCAGGAGGCTCTGCCCACGCGCCCAGATGCTTCTGTGCATGCGCAGAAGCATTGCGTGCAAGCGCCCATGAGCAAATCAGTAGCAATGAGTTTTGAAACCTGCCCAATAAGGATGCATAGAAATGAAACATTGGCAAGATTGCATGACAAACAAATACATATATAGCAAACTTGCTCATTAGTTTCAATTAATTGATGGCTACTAATATTACAGGTAGTCCTTGCCTACCAAATGCCTCATTCAGCAACCATTTGAACTTGCAATGGTGCTGAAAAAATGACTAGTGCCCACATTTACGACCTTTTCAGCATCCCTGTCTCGTGATCACCATTAGTCTTTATGTGTTGTCCTGTACCTGTGTTTTTCTCCCCCCACTTTCCAGCATGGAGAGGAAGAGATTACAAGAGAGTAATGGATACTCTGGATTGTTTGTGTAGGTTGTAGGGCATTTGCAGTTCCTATCCCTCAGTACAATCAGAGCTGCTGGTGCCATTGCATTGCTTTTAATATGCATCCTCCATTGTATGCCTGCTTACTTTCCTGTAATCCCTTCCTCTTTAATTAATGTAAATGCAAATTTTAATTCCCTTTTTGTTAATTATCTCAGCTACAGGGTAAGCATTCCAAATTATTTCTCACTTAGCAACCATTTTGCTTAAAGACAAAACTGCCAGGCCCAATTGTGGTTGCTAATGGAGGACTACCTGTATTGCAGATAAATAATGAATGGAATGCCACAAGGAATAGTCTTAGCTTCTCTATTCTTCAGTATGTTTGTTCATGATTTGATGAAGAGATTAAATGAGTGCTTCCAATATCAGCAAATGACAAAATTAGAAAGTTTGGACTTTAATTTGTCTTTTAGGGTATTAGTTACAACTTAAGACAAGAACACACATTTAAAACATTATTATTGCCTATCAGGTGAAAACTTGGAGATCTTAATCTTCTTCTTCCAGAGGCTTTCTGGATATACCTAATGTAGTTCTGTCACCTGCCTTGATGTGGGATTTTGTAATTCTTGCTGCCTCCAGCTATTTTCTAGGAACTGTCTCATTTGGGTCCCCCTTTCCAACTCTTTCGGTAAGATAGTGGATTTCCACACAGTGTGTTAATTTCTACTAATTTAAAAGGAAAAATGGAAAATATTAAATGCTATATTCATTTCTTGTCCTTAAAATGTTGAAGCATGTGACCAGAGAAATCAATCTTTACTTCCCCTCCTACTTTTGAGACCAATCTATACTAATTGCATGAGATAAATGAAATTAAACTTTATTAAAATTAGGAAAAGGTAAGCATTCAATTTTTACTTTGAGTGATGCATTACAAAACAATCAGTGAAAGAAATAAAAATAGCTGTTATAACGATAAGCAGTATATTAGAGGAATTTATTTAGAAGTAGCTCTATTGCAAAAAGATACCAAGTTGCTGAATTGTTAAGATTGCACAGGAGCATTGTTATTTTGTTTTGTTCTAACTCTAATACCAGAGACAGTAAATTGGACTAAAAATTTATAGCCAAAGTAAAAATAATAATATTCAATATTTCTAGTTAAATCCATTATTTCCTAAGATGATCAGATTTCTAAAGTTATAGTCCATTTTCTTGGAGTTTTTCATTCTTTTTCAGACATTCAGGAATGTTGTTGTGTAGCCATGGTAATCAGCTGCTTGGATTCCCATCTGTCCAAGAACTACCTGAAATGTTAAAAAAAAAAAGTTATTCTAACTGGAGAGGGATAGTTAATTTTTTTACATAAGCACTTCTCCCTCACTGGTAGTAGGAAAACCTGCAGTTTGCCTGGCATGTAGTTAACTTAATAATTTCAATATAGTTATAGAGATGGAACAATGGGAATTCCAATGGAAAAATAATATTAAATTTGCTTCAAATATTATGTTAAATGAGAATCAGTACAAGATGTTTTATTATATCTCATCATTATTGCAATTACAGTTGCCAAAATGAGCACCTTTCTCCATAATGCTGGGAATGCAAAGAACAGATTAGATTCTCCTTCTGTATGTGTGGCAATGTTGCAAAGCCAAACAATAATAGAAAATAATAATTTTTGAAAGCCATAATTCCTCCCTGGAATTTTTAAATTAAATTTTACTAACCTATATACATCTTAAAATATACTGAACTGGCATTGATATATTGAGACAGCTACAACAATTTTATTTGGTTTCTATTGGAAAAGATATAATTAGAGCCTCTCTAAGGAATAATTATTTACTAAATTTCAGGAATACAATTAAATGTCAAAATAACTGTATAATTTAAAATCTAATGTACAATTAAAACTTATTTAGAAACATTTTAGACTATAATTCTACACATGGAATTGTGCCACATCTGACATTTGAGTTTATATTTAAATTTGACATATATGTATACTCTTAATGCATTGTTCATTATCCATAAATTGTCTTTTTTATTCTTATTGATTTTAATCATGTTAACCAAATGTTTTAAAAGTTCAACAGAGGCATGTTTTCAAGAAATCAGATATGAAATGTTTCATAAAAATTGTGTATTTGAATATATTAAATTTATGATATTTTAGACTTAAGAGTTGTTAGCTGTACACTTCTATTTTAATTGCTTAAACTATTTATGATTTTTCTTATAATACTATAATTTCTATTTTTCTATAACCTTTTAAGCATGAATTACGGTAGTATTATACTTTTCTCTAAAACTGTAACATTTCTTTTCAAAACAATTAAATGGGGAAAAGTTATATGTCTCCCAAATAGGATAAAGAAGCATAATGGTTTCAGTTGATGAAAGTATGTGTGCTTCAAGCAGAATATCCTGAAATAGATTGTTATGAAAACAGATTGCTATGAAAAGAATGCCAAGGAAGGTAGGTGAGATTTCTCTCTTCATTGGAAAAAGCTGCCACCAGGGGTTGCCATTGTATTATATTTGAAATAAGGCACCTTAGGCACAATTTCCAAAGAGAAGTTAATAGTAAATAGTTCAAGGCCATTTCTGCCTTGTTTGTCAGAAGAGGATGCTGTTTTGAATGGATTATGCTTCCATACTCATTTTCTTTAGGACTTCCATACATTATCTTTATATTAGCAATGAAGTTTACTATAGTACAATAAAATTACAGCTAATGTTACAGTGGATGGAGATCTGAAAAACCATAAAATAGTATTAAGTATGTTTGTCATTTTGAGTTATTTATAAAAATAAAGACAGGATATAAATATAAATAAATAAAAATAAGTAAAAAATAAAATGACTATATTATTACTTTCAAAAGCCATGTATTCTCTTATATGCATTAGTGTGCCCGAAACTAAATGAATAATAAACCTCTGGTTATTTGTCCACTTGGCTATTACTAACAAAATATCAATTTGCATTTAGTTTCCAAATGAAAATGTAATGATCAGGATCATATTCTGTGGGGAAATGGTGGAATTTTTTATATTTCAGTATACCCAAAGCCAGCTTCTTATGTGTTTTCATGACATGTTGCTTTATGCAGGGAAATATATCTATGCGAGTCAACTTGCAGTAGTACCCCATTCTTTTAAAATTCTTGATAGATTTTGAAAAAGATAAGATAGATCCCAGGGTACCTATTTTCTAGCTTAGGTGAGTCTCGAGATGCAGGATGAAACTCATGATCTAATAAAACGAGCGATTACCGAAAGGAAATATGTTGGTATTATCAGATCGAAAAAAAGCACAACAATGCTTTTATTAAACGAAATTGTTTAACACTGTTACACTCCCGGGTCAAACTGCCCCACTCCAACATAGGGACTGCAGAGCGGGGTCCTGCCCAGTTTAATATACGCGAAGCGGGGAGGGGCAGCGGCGGCGGCGGCGGCAGGCAGGATCAGGTTTCACATCCTGATCCTGTCTGGCTTGGGACCGAGAGCCTTCGCTCACCCTGAGGGGCGCAGGGAGAAAAATCCGGATAGCGCGGCCTGAGTGGAGATATGGCGGCAGAAAAGTGAGTGTAGTTTGGGGAGAGAGGCGAAAATTTCGGGTCAAGGCATGAGGGGGGTGCCCTCTCGGTCTGCCTCTTACCTGTTGAGCTGGGTGGGGCGCAGGGCTGGGCCCCAGGCGCCGCCAAAGTATCTCGAGACGCCGACGCCGCCATTCCGCGCTCCTTTTTGCACGGAACGCGCGGCCGAAGAACCTCGGAGGGTTGAGGGAAGAGACCGAAACAACTTTGGGGGTTTCGTTTGCAGGACCTAAACGAGCAAACGGCTCAGAGAGTTTCCCAGGAGTTTTTCGGCTTCGAGCTCAGTCGAGGCTAAAGAGGCAAAAGACAGTACGCGAGATGGCGGTGGAAGAGAAAGTTTACGGTGAAGAAGTGGGTTAGGGGCTTAGCTGGGCGAGCTGAGGTGTAGTTTACTTCACCCCTTGCCTTTTCTAATTGTCTAATGCTCGCGCGTTTCTTTTTGGAGGAAGATACACTTGGGCCGCCTTTAAAGTAAGTGGCGTTTGGAAAATATAACTTTGTGGAACAAAAATCTAAGTTTTCTCTTTGGTCTCAATAAATAAGGCTGGATAGATAGATATAGGGATATATCCTTCTTAACTGCGATATATATATATATTATCCTGTTGACATGTGTGAGCTGAACCATTGTGGTTTGCAATCAGTGGGTTGTGACAAAATTTATTGTGAATTGGGTCAATCCAGTTTGTTCAAACCATCTGAACATAGTTATCATAAATAGTATTTCTGCTCCTGGTGACAAGAGATAGAATTCTTCCTTCTTTCATATTAAAGAAGGGTTACTTCTTGTCATTGCTAATTAATCCTTTTGGCTGTGAGTTTTATAACTAGAGGACATTGACCACAGGGCAGTATATATTTTTAAATGTCACTTCTATTAATATTTACATAGGCATTGCTGTGGTTTAGATATTCAGTAAAATAATGTTCTTTTTGCTGTTCATTTCCAATTTACAGTACATAATAGGAAGAATCTTTTTCTTCATGATTTGTTTTTGATTGTCAGGAATATTGTAGAATATATGTATAATATCTTCATAGATTTCTTTGGAGCATAGTTCGTATTTAATAATAATAAAATTGATGATTATTAGTGACCCTTTCATAGCAGAGAAAGAGAATTTCTAGTTTGTAGTTGAATTTTGGCCTACTGCATATTCCATCCCCTTACTAAGGGCAAAACCAGGATATTTCTTTGTGCCTTTTATTTGGCTCTCACATTTCATGAAAAATGAAAAAGGGGAGGGGGGCTAACTGGAGGGTGCAGTATTAACTATTCACTTTAGGGACTGTCAGATCCTGAGATAATTTCAAGTCCATAAAATATCAATCACTTTGGGGGCCAAAAAGGACAGATAATTTGAGATTTTTCATATATTGCACTCCTAAATTTGTAAATACATTATTTTGAAACTATATTCTTTATTTTTTCCAAAATATATTTACATTCTATTACCCTGTTTCCCCCAAAATAAGACATCCCCTGATAATAAGCCCAATCCGGCTTTTGAGCGCATGGCAATAAAGCCAAGCACTTATTTCAGGGTTCAAAAAAATATAAGACAGTCTTATTTTCGGGGAAACACAATATATTTGTGAAACTAGACAAATCATAGAATCATAGGATTGCAAGAAACCTTGGAGGTCTTCTTGTCCAACCCCCTGTGCAAGGCAGGGTTCCCTCATAGCATTTTGGGCAAATGGTTGTCCAATTGTTCCTTGAAAAATCTTCAAGGATAGAACAGGAGCAACTCTGTGGCAAGCTGTTCCACTGTCAGGAAATTTCTCCTCATTTCCAGATTGGATCGCCCTCTGACAAGCTTCTACCCATTGCTTCTCATCCTACCCCAGGTTCTATGGAGAATAAATCAACATCCTTTTCCCTGTGGCAGCCTTCAAGTCTCCTCTCGGTCTCCACTCAGTCTTCTGTCATGTCTCCTCTCAGATTTCTTTTACTTAAGCTAAGCATACTTAGTTCCTTTATTTAGGCGCTCTTCAAAGGATTTAATCTCCAGATCCATTATGATCTTTGTTGCTATTATCTGCCCTCTTTCTAGGGCCTCAACATCTTATTTGTATTGTGACCAGAATTGGACACAGAAATCTGGCCTCACCAGTGCCTTATAGAGAGTACTATAATTTCTCTTGATCTTGATACTCTGTTGATGTAGCACTGTGTTGGCTTTTTTGGCAGCTGCAGGATGCCCCTTCTGCCAGCATGGGTAGGGGCAAACTAATCCCATCAGAATGAGCTGTTTTCTCAGTTAGCCTGGACCATGCCATAAAGGGTTGAAAGGAGATAACTAACACCTTGAATTGGATCAAGAAGCAAACTGTCTGCCAGTGAGCTCACAGAACAGCAATATAACATGAGCCACCCTAGGAACCACAAGAACTGTCTCAGCAGCTATGTTTTGCACCAGCTAAGGTCTGCCCACCTGGGAATATCAGCAAATTAGATAATTAGAGCCTATAGTTTAGGAAATGAAACAAATAGTGTGTAATGTAAAATATTCTCTAAAGAATCTAAATCAGGAACATCCGAATTACCAACTGAAGGTTTGATATATTTCCAGTGTAAAGTAAGACAATAATACCTAATCAATAAGACTCAGAGAATTCAGTGTTATTTGCTTCCAAATAAGTGCATATAAAATTGAGCCTAACTTAACAAAGAAACAGAATGGTTTAAAATTAAGTTTCAGTCTGTTTAGTAAGGCATATTTCTTTGGGTTGGTCATTAACTCTCACCCCAATTTACTTGAAGAATTGCTATAAGAGTAAAATTGGAAGACAGTATATTATTTTGTGTTCCTAGAGTAGGGGACATATAACTCAAATACATTTTGTTATTTTTAATTGTTTAATAAAATTAATTTTTGAGGCCATAGTCATGGACATTTAGGAATGTAGATACCTCGTATGTCATACCTCAGATATATTACTAAATCATATCATCATTTAAATTTCTTAATACAAATCAACTACTTTATCACCAAGTCTTGTCAAAATCTACACCTAAGACTACCTGGAGTCTTAAATGGATCACAATAATTAGAACATAGGTAAACTCATCTAACTTAAGGTGGATTAGTGAATAATGTTTCATAAAAGGAATAAACATATCTAAGTACATACTTTTATATTGCATTTATTTTTAAACAGATGAGTGACAGTTCATTTAGCCTGCAAACTGATCTGTAGGTTAGAGATCCAGTTTGCATAGAATAGCCATGAAAATGCTTGCTAGAGGTGAATCTGGCATTCATTGTGCTTGTGGCATTCTGGCCAGAGTCACCTAATAGTGTACACTCCCTGCACACAATGTTATAGTTATAACCTACTGCTAAGTACAGCACTAATGTTCTTTAGCTGTAACAGAGAATACCAAATTTGGCATCGTACAGCTAAGGCTGGAAACCTTATCTAACCTGTCCATCTTACTCAAAAGGTTTCTGTGGTTTGATTCAACAAATCATGAGCAGCAGAGTTCAATACTTATGAACCCATGCCTATGGAATATTGTGAATTGGATTATGAGTGTTATAAATGGTAAAGTATAAAGCCTAAGGAACATGAGACATTATTGATGCAGATAATCGAGAAAGCCAAAAAATGCCGAAAAATGAAATAGTGCTGAGGGAGTCAAATGTTCAGTAAAGTAATGGCACGGGGCAAAAATTACCTTTGTGTCTAGTTGTTGTGGCATGCAATGCTCTATAGCAGTGTCCTGAGAGGAGAAGTTGAAATAGATTATGCCCAGGTTGTCAGGGGATCTGTAGATATTTTCTCAGCCCCCTTTCTGGTTCGTGCAGTATAAAGATCTTCAATGGAAAGCAGGCTAGTTGTGTTTTTTTCTGCAGTCCTAACTATCCATTGAAATCTGTAACTCTCCTGTTTGGTTGCTGTGCCAAACCAGACAGTAATTGAGGTACAATTGACAGACTCAGTAATCCCTCTGTAGAACTGTATCAGCAGATCCTTGGGCAATCTGAGTTTTCTGAGTTGATGCAGGAAGAACATTCTTCATTGTGCCTTTTTAATGATGGTTGTAATGTTAGGCGTCCATTTCAAGTCCTTAGAGATAATAGAACCTGGAAACCTGGAAGGTGTCTACTGTTTATACTGTGTTGCCTAATATTGTAAGAGGTGATAGAATATGAGAGTGTCTTCGAAAATGTACTATCATCTCTACAGTTTTAAGAGTGTTCAGCACCAGATTGTTCTGGTTGCACCACAGAGCCAGTTTTTCTACTTCCCTCTGTATGCAGACTCATCATCATCTTGAATGAGACCAATGACTGATGTGTCATCTGCAAACTTCAGTACTTTAACAGAGGGATCCTTCAAGATGAGTCATTGGTATAGAGAGAAAATAGTAATGGAGAGAGCACACAGTGCTAATTGAATGGTATTCCATGTGATTTCCCTAGCTGCTTTCAGGCACAGCTAGGTGAGTCAGTTTAGAGGAGGATTTTAGGAATGATGGTGTTGAATGCCAAGCTGAAGTCTACAAAAAGGACCCTTACATTGTTTGGGGATTCAAGATGTTGTAAGATGTAGTGCAGTGTCATATCGACAGCATCATCTGCTGATCTATTTGCACAGTAGGCAAATTGAAAGGGGTCTAGCAGCAGATCTGTTATAGCTTTCAGGTAGGCCAACACTGACCTTTAGAAGGCTTTATAATTATGGATGCCAGAGCCACCTGTCTGTAGTCATTCAACTTTTTGATGTAGGTCTTCTTGGGCATCAGGATGATAGTAGAGTATTTGAAGCAAGAAGGAACATAACACATTTCCACTGATCTATTAAAGATGGGGGTGAAGATGGAGGCCAGTTGATCAGCACAAATTTTCAAGAAAGAGGGAGTTACCCTGTCTGTCCTGCTGCCTTTTTACCTTTTTGTCTGTGAAATAAACCTCACACATCTTTTTCTGTGATCACTAGAGGTGGAGGGCCCAGAGGGTTGGAGTGGGTGTAGAAGACATAGCTGTTGTTGGTGTAGCTGTTATATTCCAGTATATGGTGATAAAGGAAAAATTAAAAATACATTTTGGGGGGAAATTGTGCAACATTCTGAAAGAATGCTACTCAGGGAGAAAAATTACTCTGCTAGTTGTCATGAATGAAATGGGTGTAGGAACCAGTGCTGTGGAGTCGGAGTCAGAGTCGAGGAGTCGGAGTCAGAGGAAATTTTGGGTACCTGGAGTTGGAGTCGGAGTCGGAAGTAAAAAAAAAACCTGAGGAGTCGGAGTCATTTATCTCCCGACTCCACAGCCCTGGTAGGAACAAATGAAAGTTTAGAAAAAGTGAATGAGACATTTGCAGAACAAAGCATGAATGAGAATGTTAACTGTTTTGTGAAGTTTGTCCTTATAAAAATAGTTGTCTGTAAAAATGTAATGGTAATTACAAATGTATGGTAATTACAAATGAAGTATAAACAATATTTTAAGATTTTAATCTAT